TGTTATATTCTATTGTCACTGTTTTGTTATACGTTGTCGTTTCTTTGTGTTTTTTTCTATATCTGTATAAATAAGTATATTTATTTGTTTTCTTTTTTAATTTTGTATTTCTTTTTTGTATCTGTGTGCGTGCTTACTGTCGAATAAATGATTTTTCTTTCTTTCTCTTTCGTTATGTTTCGTCGTATGAGTGAGGTTACCGGAAGCCCAATTACGCACCTCCTCAATCCCCGAATCCCTAACAATGCTCATATTCATCTGGCGTTTCAGGTGTCCATGGGCGGCGCCGATTGCTTACCATCAGGTGCCGTCATAAAAATATTGAAAATCATTCTAGTTATCAAAATTAATTAATTATCTATGGGTACCGTCTACCGACTGCACATTCATCGACTTATTCATTAAAAAAAACTGGCAGGCCGTTGGATAATCGTAGGTGTTTCTGTTTTGACTGGTCACAGCTTTCAGTTTAGTTAAATACTACTTACTTTGTTCCGGAAATCGAATCTAAGCCCCAAAGAGTAGGTATAAGTATAGGCCCTTGCTCAATATCGCACTTACGATACTACTATACTACTATGTCAGCAGAAAAAATAATAAAATAATAGCCAATATCCTCATCCCTCTCTAGATTATAGCCCAGATTTACGAAATCCCTTTATAAGATTATAATCAAGATCGCTTGACAAGAGGCAGTGATGTGACGTCATAGTCATCAACATCTCGCCATAAAATTATACAATAACGCCATCTATTGTCGACAAAAAGAATTAGCGTGGTAATAATTTTTATCTAGCTCATGACCGTCAAATATGTCAAAAATTAGGAGGCGGAAACGGAAACTACACAAATATTTGGCGTAGGTACATTTAGCACAGCTAGCAAAATAAATGACCTAATTTTTTGAAATTAGAATTGCGCGTGGCTTGGTTTGGGGCTCCTCAGATCGTCTACGAACGAAACATGCACTCGTAATAACCATTTACTGGACTGGACCTCCTACACGAGGGCACTGGCCACCAACCTTGCGTTTTGGCAGGTTTAGTTAATACCTACTTTATCAGACTGTTACCTGGCCTATATAATGTGTAGTTGCGATTCTTTACTCTTTTCTACTATCCTTCCTGACAGTACATTCCTGATTATGATGATGCAGAAGCAAAGCCACGACGTAGCGGAGATCTCGTCTTCATGTGTAACAAGTGGAAAACTATCTACACCCAATAAATAACTACAATTATCTACTCTTCATGAAAGTTCTGTTCAGAACTCTTACACATGAGCGACACGTCAACGGCAAAGATAACTGCAGCCGTCGAAGCGTCAGCAGCATCCGTTGACGCGTTATCGGCAACCATCGAAATTTCAACTTCGAACACTTTAGTGCCACTATAGGTCGACTGCTGCCGTCGACGCGTCAGCGCTTGCCACCGACACGCGTCGACGGCAGCAGTTGCCTTTGCCGTTGGCAACATATCGCTGGTGTATAAGAGCTGTCATGGACAGCCACGAAATCTTATCTTAGTAATATTTTAACTGTCGCAGATAACCTAACGGGTTCCCGCCTCACCCAGGCGCGAGCAGACATTCGAAAAATAAAAGCCGTTGATATTTCAATTTCGAAGAACACTATCTATAGTGCCGCTATAGGTAACTACTGCCGTCGACGCGTCAGCAGTTGCCTCTGCCATTGGCAACATACCACTCGTGTGTAAGAGCTCTCATAGACAGCTAAGAAATCTTATCTTACTAATATTATAACTAGGTACGAAGTTCGTTTGTGTATATGCTACTCACGTCAAAACGGCTGTAGCTATCGGGTCGAAATTTAGAACAGGGATAGGGACAGATTATGGTCTAGCCTAAATAACATAGGCTACCTACTTGTTATCTCACACGGACGCTGGCAAAGCAGCGGGCAGAAGCGTGTACCGTAAAATGGGGTGAATTGGAATCGAGAGGTGAATAGGGACAGAGGGGTGAATCGATGCTATGAAGAATTTCCTTACATCTATTCATCCCTCTTCCTGTCCCTTTTCACCGCTCAAACCCTATTCACCCACGATCTCCGGCCACCGTAAGCGCGGGCCTGCGGACGGCGAGCATGGGTGGCTCCCCGTCCGACCAGAAACAGACCCGAGCGTAAGGCGCGTCGCGTTCCGCGCGCGCCTCAAAGACCCATCAGACCACCACAGATGGGGCCCAATAGGGCCGTTGCCGATTCGGAGTCGCGGAGAACCTAACGGGTAACCGGGGCTCCGGCTCGACGTGCAGGAGAAGGAACGGGGTGGTTTTTAGTCAGTAAGAGTCTGACACTCCCTTCTGCCTCATCCAGGTGGGAGCAGTCATTCGATGATTTTCACCCCTTAAAAAAAAACCCTTCACCCCATTTTACCGTTAATTCATAAAGAAATTGGTGTTGCATCACAAATGAAACAAATATTATATATTTTTTTTAGAACTTTTTAATAATTATCCTTAGTTTATTCGTTCTCCTGGCTGCGAAGGCGGGCTGCAGAATTGGTGACCCTGATGCTGAGCTGTTGGGCGCGCTCTACAATGGTCTTGCGCTTCTTTGAGGAGACTCCGTGGGCGATCTCTGCGCAGTACTTCCTGTTCTGCATCATCAGGATCTCCAGCTCACGGACATTGTGTACAAGGACCTGGGAGAAAGAAAAACATATTATTAGTTATGTAAAACACATATTTTATCTGGCCCGTGGTATGTAAACAGTACAGAGCAACCACCAAATAACAATCTCTAGGGAATGATACAAAGGTTACTGACCACTCCCCCAAGCAGTCACCAATAACTGCTTTCCACTTCCTCCATTACAGACCTTATTGCCCATATTTAGAGACTACTTTTGTATAAACAAATGTGCATGTTTTCATAATTGGGGATTAAGAAATTAAAATGTAATGGAAGTTAAACTTCTATCACATTTATGTATCTTGTTCATTGCATGGTGGCGGCAAGCACGAGTAAATGGTTCCCTGCAAATGGTCTTACTCAAGTGCGATCCTCAAGCCGATTGAAAGTTTTTTTTTTATCATTCCAAAGCTCTGAGTAATAGGGACTTTAGAATTGTCAATGAATTATATGACAATAGACTCGCCCACAATAACAAGACTAGTAAAAGAAATTGCGAAACGAGGTACATATTGAAGTCTTTTTTTTATAGTATAGGTTCGCTGGTAAACGAGCAGACGGATCATGGATGGCTTTTTGGGGATTAGGAATTTCAGGATTGTTGGGGAATTGAGGAGATTGGGGAGGGGAGTAATTGGGCCTCCGGTAACCTCACTCACACGACGAAACACAACGTTAGTGTTGTTTCACGTCGGTTTTCTGCTCGGCCGTGGTATCACTCCGGTCGAGCCGGCCCATTCGTGCCGAAGCATGACTCTCCTACACTTAAGTGTCTGTTTGTCTACCATTTACAGTGATTTGGAGTTTGCAGACAGTGAGGAGGATGAAGTGTTATAGGCAACTTATTTTCAACTACATATTTATTTTATAAAAATGTATCTACCACTATGACCATGTAGCCATGTGCAAGCTCACATAGAATAGGATTTGGTAGAATTATTATAGCAAGGTAACAAATTGTAATTATCATATTGAATGTATAACACAGAGTGCCCTTGCATTAGCGGTCTTATACAAAAAACATCAAGACATTTCAATTACAATAGTAAACCAAGAGTTTATAAAAGTAGTTCCTTCTGGATGTTAACTAAAGCTAGTTGATGCTGGCCAACAGTTTTGAACGCATACTTTCATGTTCAGCATAGTTTTTAACTTTTTTTTAAACATTGTCCCACTAGGATTTTCTCCTGTGTCGTGGGTGCGTTTACAAACATACAAGTTCACATACACATGACACACAGACCCGAAACAACAATTTGTGGATCACACAAAGAGTTGTTCTGTGCGGGAATCGACCGACACGTTGCGCGGCAACCGATTGCTCAGCCCCAACCGTGCAGTCGACGAGGACTAACGATATAATATGCAATACTTGATTATTGAAAGTTGATCAATAATTATGAAAAATCCTGTTTTAAAGACTAATTCTCTTCAGTAAAGACTAATTCTCTTTAAGTTGAAATCTTATTTTTAAACAGCTTAGGTAGGTACATAAAAATTGAGACAATCAGAATAAGAACTATTAGGAGTGTAATAGGTTTTAGAATAGGTTTTAGTCTAAAACCTATTACACTCAAGACTTAAAAATAAGATCTTATCAGTGAAAGAGGAAGTCACAAATAAACTGAAATTGCTTTCTTGTCACCTAAGAAGTCACCCCAATGAGCTTACTAGTGAGTTTATGAAGTCAGCACCTTTAAGCACATCAAAAGCAGAGCTCCATTAGGACCTTCTCCTGTCGTAGCAACAAAATCCAACTCGATGGATGCAATAATTGGGTGCTTGCCTTAATCAAAAATACATTATTTCGACTGTTCAATACAAAAAATAATCACACTTTCATTAATTGATTTTATGACTAACAAAATTTGAGTATTTTTCTAGCAATTTTTTAAGAATTAATTTATTTTTTTAATTGATTTTTATCTTGTTTGTGTAACACACAATCTCGGTGTTGTTATATCTTTTCCTGCCACAGGCCCACAGGAAGAAATTCCAGTTGGAATATGTGGGGCCTATGTACTCTGTTTTTATATATGTATTGTCCTCTGTGTTGAATGTGTGTACATAAATAAATAAATATGCTGTTTGACGCTAAAAAACGTGACGTCACAATACACAATCTCGTACAAAATTCATAGAAAACTCGTTTTTTTGACAATTCGAAAAAAGTATTGAATTTGACTAGTTTGCAAGTACCCAATTGAAGATAGGTATACCGCTGGGTGTACACTATACATGAACATCTTAATCACCAGCTAAATGGCTAACTAGGCAGATTGCAGGAACATAAGGAGATTATATAGAAAAAAGATCTTGTACATACCTTACGGAAACCATTGGGTAGCATGTGACGGGTCTTCTTATTTGATCCGTAACCAATGTTGGGCATCAAGTACTGGCCCTTGAAACGCCTGCGCACCCTGTTGTCAATACCTGGAAACGAAGATGGAGAAAATTTAATAATGACACACAATACAATATGTTAACAAAATGCATGTCAAGTATGGCGAGATATGCCAGAATAATTTGGCATTATTTTGTGTCTGCCTACTGAAATGAGACTAGAGTTACAATATGTATGTTAATGAAAATCTTAAAACTAAAAGCAGTAAGTGGTATTTGTAAATTGTCATAAGAAAATTACTTGCGAGAAAATGAAAAATAAATATAAAAAAGCAATTTACAAATCGTTTCTTGTGAAATACCAAGTCTGGGGCTTAAATCTTATAAGTCTCTCTTACCCATGAACAATTAACCAAATAAAATATGAAGTGAACGGTCAATACCCTTACCAAAATATTTCTACAGGCTCTTATATTCAAGAAGTATTTAGTTTATTATATAAATGTATCTACCACTATGACCATGTAGCCATGTGCAAGCTCACATAGAATAGGATTTGGTAGATTTATTATAGCAAGGTAACAAATTGTAATTATCATATTGAATGTATAACACAGAGTGCCCTTGCATAAGAGTTACAAAGAAAAATAAAAAATTAAAGTTATGGTCCTAGTTACAAGCTGGTTATCTTAAAAATAAAACTTTTTTTCAAAATTCTAATTTTAAAATTTTGGTGGGACAGGTGTTCATTACAACTTGCACCTTACAAAAATTGTGTAATATTCATATTATTGTTTAAAGTATGGAATTGTAGGAGTTTTAAAGTCTACTGTATAATTAAAATATCTCAAGTTCATCATGCCTATGTTAGTAAGGTTATGGTCAGAAGGACTGAGAATAAAAATATTGACAACCTGTATCCCCAGCTTTTGTTATACACTTTGGAGTTTCCTCAATTATTCACAGCGCAAAGACTTGATTAATGCTATTTTGTCTAGGGATTATTAGAAGTAATGATGAGAAAGTCCAAATATTTATAAAATGGAACCCTCGTTTCCGTGAGACATAACCTCACCAAAGGTGTGTGAATTTTATGTTTTCTTTGTGATTTTTTACATTAAAATGCCCTTAAACTCTCCATAAAGCTATTAAAACATCGGGGGATAGTAAGTTATTTATCTAAATAAGGTTATCAAGGGAAGACAATGCCGAGAATGAACATGCGTGCTTACCTCTGGGTTTACGCCAGTTACGCTTAAGTTTGTCATAGCGATCCGATTGATGGCGGATAAACCTTTTCGTCCTCTTTTTGACGATTGTCGGCCTGTATACAGGGCGGATTGCCATTTTGTATGTTTCTTATTGAAACACGGCTGTGAACCACGCGGTGACACGGCCGCACGAAAAGGAAAAAGGAATAGACAATTCGAGACATTGCTAGAGTTTCAGTCTGTTTTCGTTAAGTAAACAGTGGCGTTGGTGTGAAAAAATAAAATAAATTTAGTCTATGGTTTATTAAATTAGTGAAAATTACGACTATGATAAAATACTCTTTCATTACATGTAATATGATCTAAATATCAATGAATAAAGCATCATAGTAGTGGCGTAGCGTATCTTGGCTTTATGAAACCAAAATATACCTTATGAAAGCTGTCCGGATTTTACTTGTAACCGGAAAACCTTCCAGATAACTCCCTCAACCTAAATTATCGCACAATTATTACTTTAGTTTTTCCAAAGTTTCTGCCATGGAATAGATTTCTCTATTCCATGGTTTCTACCTGGTTTCCTAAAATGGAGATTGAGAAGTTTTTATATTTTTGCTTAAGTACACACGTTGGGGGACCTCGTAGTCCAGGGGCTCCATATAATTGATACGGCAGATATGGCGCTAGCTACGCCCCTGCATCATAAATTTCGTTTTTGAAGAAATACTCATTTCTTTTTAGTAATTCGTAGAAAGTAACACGGTGACGGTCAGATGTCTACGTAGCCATTGAGACAAAAATACCTAGGTATTGATAGTGAGTGTATTTATTTTAGAATAGAGATATTTCTAAACCGATATTTTTATTTTTTTATTTTATTTAATAATGTATGTACACAAACAGCACAGAGGATAACACATATATAAAATAAGAGTACAAAGGTGCTACTTATTCCTGTTGGAATTTCTTCCAGTAGACCTGATACAAGAAATGTAATAAAAATATTAGACACAGTGTATATTTTATTTAAAGGTATGAGATTTTACTATGGAATATTTTTATAACTTTAAATTAGACCCGCACCCTCATGTATGAAAAACGGTAGCAGGTGCCTTAATTTATGCGCTAGAGACGCAGAAGTTAAAATCGTCATAATTTTAGTAGGAAGAAAAATCCAATATCTACCACTTTTTACCCGACCCAGGAATCGAAGCCGAATCATGTTTTTGCATTGTAGTTGTCATTAATTTTAACTGATCATTGAGCCTAGTACCAGCAGCCGTGTAGTTCTCATTTCCTTAAAATAAGCTTTTTTATGGGATAAACAAGCAGGCATAATAATATCAGATCTGAAACACAACGTCACGCTGTGACGTCACACGATATTTCAATTTAAACTGTCAAATACCAAGCGGTCCCGGTGACCGCAACCTATTGTTTTATAATTGTGTCTACAAAACCGGTACTCGACGAGTTAATATATCGTTGAAAGTATTTAATTTTGTGAGAAAAGAAAAAATACGTGTCTAAAGTTTTAAATTTTTAATTAATGTCTTAGACGGACGCTAGAATAAAATTTATGAAACTACCCTATTAAATATATGCTCTTGTTAAAAAAGTCATCATCATCATCGGCTGATAAGTATCCACCGCTGAACAAACGCCACTTCTCACATGGCGAAGTTTAAAGCTAAGAAAATTAAAACAGTGCTGATTGACCCACATTTTGCTATGATTTTTTATGGAATCACCTGATGGTAAGCGATCAGCGCTGCCTATGGATATCCGCAACACTTGAGGAGCACAGGTGCGTTGCTGGCCTTTTAAAAAAGGAACACGCTCTTTTCTTGAAGGTTTGAAGGTTGTATCGGTATCGTAATCAATCAATCAAGTGCCAGTTAGAGCCATATTATCCCTAAGATACACTAGGTAAGCCGCATGTGCCCAACGGTCCCATAGAGCGAATATGGCTCCAAAAAAATAAATGTTTATGAGGTCATTGTCTTGGGGCGCGGCGCTCTTTAGGTTGAATTCGCTCCTGGCTAGAGTAGTGGATTTTCTAAGGTCTCTATAATGTAGTATGTTGATAATCTTTAAAAAAAGAAGGTGTAGTGTTTTGTTCATCGTGGTATTTGGTCATGTAAATATTTATATTTTGTTAGTTAAAAATTACAATACGAAATGTTTTATTTATTTTAAATATTTTATGAATTTATAAAATAATTTACATTTATATAAATAAATCTTACTTTTGACTAATTTAATAAAGTAGCAAACCAATTTGTCTATGAACAAATTTTTTATCTGTACTAACCTAATAACATTTATTTTATGACAGCTACCTGCACGCCGAGAACAAACCTATTTCTCTATGCCACAGACGCCAAATGTCGCCATCGATCAATGACATTTTGTGTAGTTGAATTTATTGATATAAAGCGTTAATGTAAATAATAAACAATATCATCATAAAAGTCGGCTTCCAGTCGATATGTATGCCAAGGGCAAGGGCTCTACAGTGCCTTCGGACGCTCAGGCTCGCGAAAAATTGGCGCTCTATGTGTACGAATATTTGCTTCATGTCGGTGCGACCAAAGCGGCGCAAACATTTCTGTCTGAAATACGATGGGAGAAGAATATAACACTGGGCGAGCCGCCCGGGTTCCTTCACTCGTGGTGGTGCGTGTTCTGGGACCTATACTGTGCAGCGCCGGAACGGAGGGACACTTGTGAGCACTCGTCTGAAGCGAAGGCATTCCACGACTATGGTTTTGTCAATTCTGGTTACGGAGTCAACGGTATCGGACACAACGCCGGCCCAGCGCCGCCTAACGACGGTACGTGTGCTAAATACGCGAATAATCGCGGCTACATAGCTTCATTTTGTTTTTCGCTGCATGTTTGTAGGCCAACACTATTCTTATCGCTTATGCTAATAAAACTAAGATTTCCTGATTCTGAAGTCTATATTTACTTAACTGTTACCGTGTTGAGATAATTTCTCGCGTAATTTGTGTGTTTTGATGTGATTTTTAGGTGTTTTTTTGGTATCAATATGTGTAACCCAAAAATGGTGTTTTCACGAAATTGGGTTACTGGCCTTGTGTGATTAGCTATATAAACATAAACAAGTGACTGATAACTGAGATATCACTATTTGTGGCTTTAGTAATAGTTAAATATGCATTTACATGAAATGTGATATTTCCACCAAATTGTTTTACGAGTACCCATAGACCTATATTCTGTAAATAGTACATTGTACTACATAGTTTAATAAGGCAGAGCTTTCGAAATGCTTTCACACAAATATACACTTAATATCCATCGCTATATGAGTGAAAATGACAAATTATTAGTAGTTCTTCTCTTTTTAAGGTCATAGGTACATAAGGTGGCCATAATGTCATATGGCATTTCTTCCCAGTCCACATTTAAGTAAAGTAGAAAACAGGCCTCTGTTAGATATAGTAACAATAACAAACTTCTTCTGAGGTGAGACCACATCCAGCGCTCTGATAGGTTGGTTCTTTGGAGTCCACCAATTAGAGTGCTTAATGTGTCTGTAGTCATTTTGATTACTTTAAATATAACACAAGCTCATACTAAGATCTGACTACAGAATGATACAGAAAATACAGTTAAGAGCTACATGTCCAAATGAGTAATTTATAAATAAATAGCTTCTGCCCGCGACTTTGTACGCGCAATCCCGTTTTCTCCCGTTCCTGTAGGATTTTAGGACATTTTTCTGTCATAACAACCTTCTCCTGACAATAATAAACACAACAAAAAGAAAATCAGCCAAATTGGTCTAGCGGCTAGACCAATTTGGCTGATTTTGACTGAACTTGAGATTGGCTAGACTCTAGCCAATCTCAAGTTATGGCGTGGAACAAGTGAATCTATTTCTGCAAATAGGCTACAAGGCAGCAATTTTACATGTCAATTTTATCAAGCGAATGATGAGGCCGTGACAATGGGAAACGGGTTTCATTTTTATATATATAGATTCACTTAAACTCATGCTAAGATTTTTGCCTCCTTGCTTTCTCAACTAAAGAAAATTAGTAGGAAAGTCAGTGTTATTTCTGAGCTTTGTAAATGTTGATCTTTACCAGCCAAATCTACTGACAGACAGGCAGACTTAAGAGTAATTTGTAGGTCACTAGTTATTCAGTAATGTCTTCCTAGTCATGGATACTTGTCGCTGAGAAGCTCCAGCTCGACGTGCAGGGGAAGGAATGGGGTGGATTTTAATCAGTAAGAGTCTGATACTGCCTCTCGCCACACCCAGGCGGGATTGATCATTCGATGATTTTCCCCCCTTAAAAAAAAAAACAGTAAGACTGCCCGACCCAGAAATCGCACCTGCGACCACTCGGCTACAGGCAGTCAAACAATATCTATAAGTTCAAAAATGACATAAATGTAAATAAAAATACAACAATTTATTTCCAGGCATGGGCGGCGGTGGAATGCCTCCTGGTTTCTTCCCGAACTCCCCCCTACGACCGTCACCTCCCGCACCCCACCCCGGATCGCAACCCTCACCACATGGACCGCAACCACAGCTTATGGGCACTGGACAACCGTTTATAGGAGGACCCTGGTATTCTGGTGGAGGACCTCGAGGAGCTGTCAGGATGGGAATGGGCAATGACTTCAATGGACCTCCCGGTAAGATAATAAATTAGTCTTTACTTATTTTAGGTTTTTTGTACCTAATTTTATTTTTATACAGTTTGCTCCACTCTTGTATTTTCTCCTATGCCGTAGGTGCGTTTACAAACATACAAATTCATATACACATCACAAACAGACCTGGAACAACCGGGACACAGGAGAAAATCCTAGTGTGGGGCAACGTTTTTTTTAAAAACAATGATTTTTTTACAATGTTCACAATGTTCAACATAATTTTCAGGTCAGGGAATGATGGGCAACTCACTGGAGCGAGGAGGCGGCGGGGTGCTAGGCGGGCCGCGCATGACACCCCCGCGGCCCGGCATGGGCCCCATGAGCCCCGGCGCCTACGCAGCAGGCATGCGCGGCCCACCGCCTCAGGGACCAGGTATGTTCCCAGTATTTATAGTTAAACAGCATTTATAGCACAGCGCCATCTATTGAAACAAATCGGAGTTTTGCTATGACACAAATATTTGGGATAACACAGTTTAATGCTCGAATACTGAACGCTACTCAGTTATAAGTCGCGATTAAGTATAGTTCTGTCACTACACAGTGGTGAAACTACAGGGTGGCAAGTTGTCAAAATGCCACGGGCCCGCAGCTAGAAGGGGCTCCGTTCAAAGGTTTTCATCTGAATTTCTTTGTTTTATTGGGAACGAGGGCCCATTCGATGAATTAGTCACTACATATTTCTTGTGATAAAATTATAGAGATGCCACGATATTTGAGTGCAACTTAAAATTGACTTAGCCTAGCCTTTCAGTATTCAGGTGTTAGACAGTTATAACTTATGCTCTTTTAAAAAGAAACTGTCGAATGGTTGTCGTAACCGTGAAAAGTTGACTGTTGACTGGGGATTGCTCTTTCAACTTCTGAAGTTTTGAGATGTATCCTTCTTTGGACAAATACTATTTGTCATCACTTTTACAGGTGGAACAAGTTCCAGGTGTGAGTGTAAACACTGGACACCTGGTATATGTAAGCTTAATGTGGATGTTACAATGTTCAGATCAATAGCGGTCTTTATCTTCAACTTTCTGCAATCATTCCCCTTATTTTATTTTAGACCAGTGGTTCTCAACCGGTGGTCCATGGACCACTGGTGGTGCCCACAAGCAAAAATATGTCAACGAAATAATAAAATACACAAATCTTCACTTCTTCCGCGGGAAGTGGAAACTGACGTTTTTTCTTCTCTTATATTTTCTGATTTGATTCACTTCGTAGGGGGAACCAAGACAGTTATTCATGTCCCTGAGACGCGCCGGACTTCAGTGTTCCGGTGTTTTCATGGTTGTATCTAGTGTAGATCCTGGTTTACAGGAGTTGCAGCGGTTTTGGAAGGTTGTGGCGAGCTTGTCCTATTAAAAAAAAAAGATACTTAGGTCAAAATGTAAAGAAATAAAATAGAAAGAAACTACAATAATAAAAAACCTCAATTTTTAAGATGGCGATCCCTATCATACTATAATGTTATGTCACGTGGGGCCACTTACAAGTAATTTTATAATAGTGGTCCCTAACTTAACAACAATGGTATAAAAATGATTTTTGACCAAGAAAAGGTTGAGAACCCACCCTGTTTGTTTTTTTATATTTGTTGGGTCAACGTTTGACCACTATCTCGGCTGGTGGTAAGCGATAAACCGGTCTACGATGGAGCACGTCGACCCATAAGCAACCTATTCACTCGGGCCTTGAAGACACCCAGGTTATACCTTTCAGGAAATACAGATTCTGACAAAAAAATCGAATCCTTAGCACAAGGAAGCTTCAAATCCTGTTTTAGACAGTTAAGGAGGCCATACACGCTAGCTTATGCATGGTGGTTATAACTGTGCATGCAAAACTGACAAGCATAACCGACCACTGAAAGGACAAAAAAAAATAGTAATAAAAAAACATCAGTGTACAAGGTGCAAAAAGGCCAGTGCTCAGCTAAAATGCCGTGTCACAAGCGCGATTGCTCGAGTCGCGACGCTGATTTTCAGCACTAGCCTGTTGCCAAGATCTCATATAGAGGTAAATAAATAGATAAATACTAAATAGAATATAATAAAAATAAGACGGAACAACATAACCTAGCGTGTATGGCCTCCTTAACACAGAGTTGATTTATATACTTGTATGTTGTTTTTTTTTTTTTTTTTTTATGTTATTATTGTTTGTTAAACACGTCTATCTACACACGCATTTCCTGTGTCTGGACTATTGAAGTTATTAAGTACCTAGTCCATCGATTTTTACAAATTGTCTATTTTTATCGCCTTTTTTTTTAATTTGGAATCAATTTTATGAAAGTTATTTTCCGGTCTCAAACAGAGGTTATAATAGACCCGATACGGCGATAAAATGACATGAAAGTTATGTCGAATTAATGTTATATAGGTATGCCACCAATGGGTATGGGCCCACGGGGCGCTTGGGCCGGCGGCAGCGGCGGCGGCGGGGGCGGGGGTGCCGCGCCGCTGAACTACTCCGGGGGCTCACCAGGGGCGTACGGGGCCCCTCCGGGGAGCAATGGGCCTCCGGGCCCCCCGACACCGATAATGCCCAGCCCACAAGATTCGTCTAATTCAGGTGAGTTTCATGAGTGGGCGAAGGTGGCGGGGTGAGGGAGTGGGATACGAGTCTTTTTTACATTAAATTAGTTAGGAACTTGTAATTAATTCATTAGGTAGTTTTTGAAGTACTTAAAGTAATACACCGTCGTTTAAAAGCTTTAAAATGTAACTCAGCTCAAAAAAACATTAGTAGTTGTTTTTTATATAAAAACAACCAATTATGCTATTGAAATTAAATTAAAACAAAAAAAATACTCGGTACCCATTCATCGCTTCATGTGTTAACCGTCCTCAGCGAAAATAGGTTGACATAGTTTTAAACTTTTTTTTAATAAAAATCAGAAAGTCTTTGTCAACCTTCTCTCGCCAAATCTCGCCTAAGCCATTAATTTTTCAGTTCAATGTTAAAGGATATTCACTCAGTATTCAACTAAAATGTTTTATTATTACAATTTAACAAGATATATTTAATTAAAGGTCAGTTGGTTAATTTGATCAAGGTATTTTAATGTCAGTCTTCATTTTTCTATGACGTACAGTGGCGTAATTATAACATATAGCTGTATGAAAAAGATCAAAATCTAGATTAGAAAGAGATTATTTTCACATGTTTTGATTACTGTTATATATTGGGAGTTGCGGGCCCCTAATAGTTTGGGGGCCCCGGCAATCATTGCCTGCCTTATATTACGCCATTGATAACGTGGAATATATCTTGTCCGATCCGTAATAAAATTGTAAGCGTAAACTCTATTGGCGTTAACCTTTTTTGAAATACATTTAGGAACAGTATTTTTGGATAAAATACTTAAGAATAGGATCTGTTTTGTTTAGTTTGACGAAGTATTTAATTTTTGTCTTTGGCCACTGGATCGGACAAGGTTTTAGAAACACTGTCTATTTAATAATTTTATGTTAGGAGATGAGTTTACATTAATTGACAAACAATGTTGAATGGACTATGTTAGTTAAAACAAACCTTAAATCAAAAAAATATTGTTTTCTAAGTCGTATTATGATAATATCGGTGGCACTAAAATTACTAGATTCCAAATTCAGATATCGAAATTATTAATTTTAGACGAATTGTCAAATCGCGCCCGGGTTTTAGGTTAATTGGCCGGTCACAATGTTATGTTGTCTGTCTACCCCTTCCGGGTATACACGACATTTTGAGAAACACAGGGTAGGCCCACCAGTAACACATCGAGTCGACCGCAGTTTAAAAGGTAAACGTAGAATGTTTTTATGCGTTAATGTATGCTCATCTTCACCCGATGCGATCTACAAAACTTACTAAAAGATCCATCACATTTCTCTCATGTAATTAATTTCATTTCTCACTCTGCTTGCTTCATTCTCGCATAACTTCGTTAGCTTGGTTCACTTCTGTACAACGCTTTTTATGTTATTTTTATTACAAACTGTCCTCTTTTTTGTTCTTTTGTGTCTGTATAAATTCTTTTTTTAGTTTTAGTTGTTATTGCATTCTCAATTAGGGATTTATTTTGCTGAAAGGCAGCTAGTTAGCCGTGTTTTCAGGCCCCCACTGGGGCCCCGTAACCGTGTGATAATGAATGTTTGTGTATAAGTTGGGGGCCCTTGTAAATTTTTTCATACGGGGTCTCGTATAACGAAAATAGTTTTTTGAATCGATATTTTCTAATTGAGAATATTTTGGTTATTATTATTAGAAGTCACGTGGCTTCTGGTAGTAATTTTCCAATAATGTACATGTATGTAGCTCTTAGTTAATTTCTCATAGACAAAATTGTTTGATTTAGGGCTGGTTATACCAACGCCAGATAAATTTTACCAGAGGAGTAACTTTGAATATTTGACAATACTTCCATACTAAAAAACTATCAAATGTCAATTTTATTCTAAAGTTAAGAATTATCTGTTGATTGAAAAATCAGCCCGTGTAAGCATTGATTCTCATTTATTTTTTTTATTATTTCTTTCTTTTTGTTTTGCTAAATAAAACCATCGTAAACGAAAATCACTTTCGCATTTTTTTTTTTATTCGCTTGCCATTGCGTGCAAAAAAACCCCAAAAAATAATTTTGTCTATGACACGATGCGAATGAAATAGAGGTGGAAAAGTATCGATATAGAGAAATAAATCGATTAAAATGGGATGAGATATAGTCACGCATAATGTGCGCGGCAGGGGGAGACAACATGTACACGCTGATGAAGCCGGTGGGCCCCGGAGCGCTGGGGGCCGAGTTCCCCCTGACAGGCGACCACGGGCCGGCGCCGCAGCACCTATCCCAGCCGCCCGCCGCTGAAGGTGGGCCTTGGACTCAAAAATCAAACCTTTTATATCAAAATCCTCACGCCAGTGTCTAAAAATGGCTCCTGTACTCTAAGGCCAATGTTGATCAGTCCATTAATTACGTGATTAAGGCTGGGGGTCAATCTGACATTAATTCACGTGGGAACCGCCGAATCTCACATTAATTCACATGGGGTCAGCCAAAACTCACATAATCTCACATGGGGTCCGCCGAAACTAGCTTAGTCTCACATGGGGTCAGTCGAAACTCACATTATCTCACATGGGGTCCGCCAAAATTCACATAGTCTCACATGGGGTCTGCCAAATTTCACGTAACTTATCTATAAATGGGTTTTTGAAAATTATCTGGTATATCGAAAATGTTCTGAGAGTCTACGGTTATTTAGTAACTGTTTCTTACACTTGCTTATCACCTCAGGGGTATAAAAACATTAGTCCACCTTTTGAGACTACACTTTTGGAGTATGCTTTTCGATATGTGAGATTAAGTCAAGATTGACCTTTTTGGAGGGGATAAATCCTCCATGATGACTTCTCCTGCGTTGGATGAGGCGAGAGGGAGTGTCAAACTCTTAATGACTAAACACCACCACGTTCCTTCTTCAAGCCGAAGGCCCGATATTCTTTCCTATCGTCCGCAGCAGGTAAAAATGACCCTAATTTCATGTTTTACCAAGGAAAAGAGGTCAAAATTCACGTAATTAATGGACCAAACTCAAATATAATAAAATAGCCTATTTCAAACCCAACATTGCCAAATGTGTACAGAAGCCTAAAGGGCTCTGACACTAGCGCATTAAAAATAAAATAAAAAAAGTATTTAACAATGAGTTTGGTTGAGGGGTGTGCGGCGTCGTATCGTGTAGCTTGTCGGTTTACGTTTATGCTTTTGTTTGTTCATTAGGCGCTTCGAAGCGTGTCAGAGCCCTGCTTGTAGTTGACCTTTTGACCTTCATTGTCATAATTTTTGTTCATGCGAATATTTGCAATAGTTGTGTACATTTAAAAGCCTTTTTAGGAGTTTTTATACACTCAACACGGTATTAAAACTATAACCTAGATTACTTATTTTGAATAAAGGTTCAAGGAATAAAATTCAGGTTTTTATAGAGTACAATGAAACTTGATTAAGTGGGACCTGGATAAGTGAGAAACCTCCATAACTGGAACTCATGCTGAGGTCCCAACACTTTGGCACTGAATTACCTCTGTTAGTGGGATGAGGTAAACCTCTATATCCGGGATTTGTTCTTTCGATTTATCATCATAGTTCCTACACACCTCTACAACTGAGACAGCGAGTAACTTTTATATGCATAAACCTCTGTAACTGAGATAACATTGTTTGTTGACCTACTCATTCTTATGCTACCCACAAATTACACACGTAATTCTAAGTCCACCTCTATTAATGGAACTCTCTGTAAATGAGACAGATATTTATTTATACCTGTATATCTGAGACACTGGGTAAGTGGAATACTACTACTCTATAAGTGAAACGGCATTGCAGGTCCCTTGATGTCTCACTTAACCAGGTTTCACTGTATATTCAATTCCCTTGGTGGTAAGCTATGATGTCACCAACGATGAAACATCAGCCTAGGATTCGCATAAACAAAAATAATATTCTTGTATAATACACAATAAATAAAAAAATCCCAACTGTGGTAGCATCTGTGTTTAGACACATTTTTTAACATAAATAATGCCTTAGAACATCACATTTTGTTTGTTTACTTTATGAGATCGTGTACCTAATGTTGTTTCTAATTAATATAAAGTGATTCGCGTTAAAAAATAATCAAAAGTAAGATAATGAAATCGACAGTAAAAAAATCTACGTTTCTTTATTATGGGCCTTAAGCCCCTTACGCACTAGCGGTTGATATAGCGATTTCATATTTAAGTGGAAAAGAGGACAACGGGAAGGAGGAGTTAGCCGCACGGTTCTAGTGCGGAAGGGAGCTTAGAGCTGAGGGCAGGCTGTTTCTTACGTGCCATGATGGTCAAAAGGTTAATACTGATTTTTGGGAGCTTCCTAATCCTATATATAGTTTACTAGAAGTAAGAACTTCATCGTGTTCTAAAAATATGTCTGATGAAATACTCTAGATGGCGTTGATGTACCAAATTGGTCATATTTTGTATGTCGAAAACGGCTGGACAGGATTTCATGTTTTACATGTCTTTCTTAGATTATCAATATTGCTAGCTACAGATTGAGAAATGTCACTATTACATTTATGAAGGAAATTAAGTTTTTAAGTTCGACTAGGTAATAGTACATTGAATTTTAAATCTTCATGCTCAAATAATACGGTATGGTAAACAAGACCTTTTATGAAAATGAACCCAGCGTAGTTTAATAAAGAAACTGTATTTTTAGTCTAAAATTTGTTCGGCAAAATAAAGTTATGATCAATTTAAAATTAACCGACCTAATCTATAGAAATTAAAAAAAAATATCTCCTAGCTTAAGCTTACATTATGTTTGTGTTTAGATTTAGACTGTGATGGGTAGATATCACCGTCTCTCTCGCACAACCACATGAATGGCTATGACGTCACAAGTCATCTTTTTTTTCAAAATCGTTCGTGGATAAACGTGCTTGTCAAACAAAGAGTTAACAATGCCCAATAATTTTTTTTTCTGAAGTTTATTTAGGGTATAAAGGATTATACAAATGTACATGTCAGTCCCATCGGAGCTTATAAGCTTATAAATATAATGAATAAGGTAGTTTCCTAAATTTTATTTTAATGTCCGTCTGGTAGATTATTTTAAAACATTAGACACGTATTTTTTATTTTCTCACAAAACTAAATGCTTTCGACGATATATTAATTAGTCCGTAAGTTAGGCAATGAAAAAATATTAGACACGTATTTTTTATTTTGTCCTATAATAAAACAATACGTAGATAAAACGAATCAAAGTTTAGGAGTGGGGGTTAAAACGTCATTTCTACGTATAAAATGTACATAGAAGTGACGTCACGCGACATTTCAAATCAATATATATCGTCGAAAGTATTCGTTTCTGTAAGAAAATAAAAAATACGTGTCTAATGATTTAAAATAATCTACTAGACGGACATTAAAATAAAAATTAGGCATCTACCCTATTTGTTGAGTTTTTTCATTAATAATATAAAATTACATAGTTGGCATGTGTGCCGATATCGATCTATGCTGCTGTCACAAATGCCCGATCATAAATCACATTTTATTTTAAATTTACTAGCTTTTCTCAGCAATTTCGCCTGCGATCCAGTGGGAGAAAAGGTAGCCTGTATATTATATATATCTATATATACAGACGTTGTACTGCATATAATATAATAATGGGTATATATAAATAACCTAGATACTGACTGCATCGCCATCTGCCGGGCTGATTTGTGAATCTAAACCATCCAGGGCGCCACTCAAACGCGTACAAAAAAATTAGTAAAATAGGGATGATGACAGTGCATGAAAATTAAAAATCTAATTAGTCCGTCAGTTAGGTAATGAAAAAATGTTAGACACGTATTTTTTTATTTCGTCATATAACAAAACAATACTTAGATAAAACGAATCGAAAGTTTAGGTTTGGGAGGCAGCTACGTCATTTTTGAGCATAAATCGTACTCAAAAGTGACGTCACGCGATATTTCAAATCAATATATCTTCGAAACTATTCGTTTCCGTAAGAAAATAAAAAATACGTGTGTAATGTTTTTAAATAATCTACCAGACGGACGTTAAAATAAAAGTAGTCATCTACCCTATTCATTATATTCCATCATGATTCATGATCATAATTTGACTGCGCAGTTGCCGCGGTGGCAGGGCAACTGGGCTGCCGCGCGAGTTCGATTCCATCACGGAACAACTCTGTGATCCACAGATTGTTTGTTCCTGGGTGTCATGTGTATGTGAAATTGTATGTTTGTAAATGCACCAACGATACAGGAGAAAATTCTAGTGTGGGGCAACGTTTAAAAAAATCTTCTTAGTATCCCACTGCTGAGCAAATATCTCTTCTAACACGGAGGAGGAATGAGCATTAATCACCACGGTTACTCAACGAGTTTGTTTTATATTTATATATATATATAATATATATAAGTCATCGACACGTTTATGACGTTTGAAGATCTGATTGGACTGCTCCAGTGAACCAATCAGAAGGCTAAACGTAGTGGCCTTGATCTCGGATTTAAATATATTCCATAGCCATTTTGAGGTCAAAGTGCGAGAGAGATGCCTATACAAAATACCGCTATCCCTTTCGTTATGAAGTTGAATTTAATCCAAGATTGTATATTGTCCCAGGACTTGGAGGAGTTGACGGGATGAAATCATCTCCTGGAGGAGTGGGAGGAGGAGGGCCGGGCACTCCTCGGGAAGATTCAGGATCAGGAATGGGAGATTACAACTTAAGTAAGTATTAATACGTTTTTATTTTGAGATTTTGTTTGAGATTAGTTCCGGTAGGGTGGCGCTGAGATCGATTTTTAGCGTGTACGTGTTTTGCATTTTTTTTTATTTCGTTAGTGATGAGTATGACCTTGATATCACAAAGGTTAATTTGTCAGTGTTTGCTAGTTCAGATATCTGAAATTACTAAACTTAATAAGATGTTTTTTTGATGATAAACAATTTTTAAAATACACTATAGGCTTTGTTCCTTTGAAATTCAGTACTCAAAATAACTCTTATAAAAATCTAAGAAACTAGCACTGTTCCTTCAGCTATCAAATATCCTGAGTCTGAAACGTAAATTATAATTGAGTTTGTACATACAACCCATGTCTAGATAAAGACCTACCTATTACTCTAGCACTTGTTTACATATCCTCAGTACATCTCTCCCAATATCAGCTAGACTAACAAAACCCCACTATTACAATAGAATAAAATTGCACAGTATTAACCGTCGACAGTCATAAATAGTTTATTTTTGAAAAATAGGTTTCGGTGGCCCCGGGGGCGACCAGAATGATCAGACAGAGTCCGCGGCGATACTGAAAATTAAGGAAAGCATGCAAGAGGAGGCGAAGAGATTCGAGAAAGACCCGGAACACCCCGACTACTTTATGCAATAAAGGTTTTTATTTTGTCAAAATACTATTTTTGATTCGCGCCCCCAACTTGCCAGAGATTTGATTTTTTTTTTCGTAGATGTTTACCAAATTTTTGGTAGATGTTACCGATTTTGTGATTCGTCTACCGAATTTTTAGTAGATGTTACCGGTTTTGTGATTCGTCTACCGATTGGTTGATGATACTAAATTTGTGATTTGTCTACCGAATTTCTGGTAGATGTTACCAGTTTTGTGATTTGTCCTCCTACCTTTTGTAGGCAGGGAACTTTTTATGCTATATGCATTACAAGTTATTTAATTCTATCAGTAAAACATTGACACTACCAACGTTCCAGTGATAAAAACTACCGATACGTTTTTCGTTAATTTTATTTGATAATTTAATAGTTTGTATAGTTTTTGAAGTCTCATGTAATATGAAAATAATTTGAAAATGGTCATCCAATAAAAAAAATTTTGGTACAGGAAAAAAACGATTGTATTTTTGATACAAATTCACGTGTCTGTATTCTATGTCGCGATATAATAATTTTTGAAATATCTGTGGTAAGTTGGCAGCGCGTAGCACAACGTTCCAACGTTATGATCGTGAAAAAAAAATTGTATTTTTAATTTTTCTTTCTTTTTTGAAAATCTATCATATTTTCTTCTCGTGTCGATTTATGTTGCACAATTTTTATCTTTTATTTATTTATAATGATAATTTTAACCCGGTGTAGTAATATTTCTTCGATTTTTTCGTTTTTTTTTTCTTTACATTTTGACAATTTCATTGAATGTTTCTGTCTATGTCTACACTTCTACACATTTCAACGTATATATGTACTTATTAATAATAAAAAATATATATTATCTGTCCTCATTGACTTATCGTCTACCCGGGAACCGAACCGTACAGTTCGCAGCTATAACATTCAGTTCCTAACTGACATTTAATGAAACTGTCAAAAAAATAAAAATAAATGCACTTGTTAATGACGGCGTCATAAATCATGCAACGTGTGTCATTCAATGACGGTCGCGTCATTAAACTTCTTTTGACACAGTCATTAAAGACTAAATTTTTGTCATTCAAAAATGTTTTGACGTATATTTTGTACAGAAAATTGTTAATCGTTTGTTAACATTTTTGAATGACATTTTTTTGTGACATGGCCGTTATTTTTTGACGGTTTAAAATTGTTTAGTGATTAGGAAAGATGGTGTCCTCTTTACACACTCCTTTGGCCGGGTATCTGGTACGCTTGTCTACTTGTAGTGTAGAAAAAGTAAATTATATGGGATTGACGTAAATTTTGACACGTGTCAGTGTCATCCCCATACATTTAATTTTCTACTCTCTCGGTAGACCAGCGCTAAAGTGGCGTTTGGCTAAAGGCACTGGTAAGAAAATTAAGATTGATTCAGTACAGAGATAGTAACCATTGGTTGGCGACTGAACCGACCAATAGTTGCAGAAGAAGTTGAAGCTACTGTCTCTGTACTCAATCAATCTTCATTTTATTAACTGTATATTAAATAGCTATGTTTACTATAAGACAGCTTGGCTATCTTCGCCATTGGTTATCTGACACCGGCTACACAAAACCAGGTTTGTGAAAAAGTTATTAGAGGGCTTCGGCGCTCTGATTGGTTGGTTAATTGGTGCTGGCCAATCAGAGTGCCGAACGCCTACTCGTTTCGAATACTTTAAACATAAAACGAACTCGTTCTAAGGCCTCAGATAAGGAAAGGTTTTAGTAAAAACAAAATTATTATAGTGAAAATGATGAAATTGGTTATATCTTTTTTATGGTATAAACGATTAGATGTATAATCACCTGATGGTAAGCATACGGCGGCGTCCTGGGTACCTGGGACACCAGAGGAGCTACAAGTGCGTTACCGGCCATTTGGGGATTGGGAATTTGAGGATTGTTGGGGTGTCAGGGATTGGGGAGATTAGGGAGGAGGGGGGTAATTGAGCCACCGGTAACTTCACTCACACGACGAAACACAACGCAAGTATAGTTTGACGTCGGTTTTCTGCTCGGCCGTGGTATCAATCCGGTCGAGCCGGCCCATTCGTGACGAAGCATGGCTCCCCCACATTTAAAACCTGTTTCAATGTATGTAATTTATATTTATTTTGTAAATTCGTAATGTGATGTGTTTTTTGTAATTGTGTCGTATCGTCATAACAAGTGCTTTATCAATTTTAAGTTTTATTTTAATGTTTTTTTTTTATTTTACTATTAAATATAATAATGATTATAATTTCAAAATAAAATAATTATGTATGTATGTACTAGTAGTATATAAATGTGTTTATTTTATATAAAAAATCTAATTTTTTGACTATGAATTTTTATGGGATTATGTTTTGGTCGCCGATTGAACTGGAAGATTAGTTTGGATTCATGGAATGATTTTAACTTTCATAAATAAATTTACACCTATTATATGGGACTCATAACGTACCTAATTGGTGAAATTTTTATTTAAATTATATGTGCACTTAAAAAAGGCACCTTGCTTAATTTTCCTGGGTGGATTCCGTACGGAACAATAGGGTAGTTTCCTAAATTTTATTTTAATGTCCGTCTGATAGATAATTTTAAAACATTAGACACGTATTTTTTCTTTTCTCACAAAATTCAATACTTTCGACGATATATTGATTTGAAATATCGTGTGACGTCACAACGTGGCACATTTTGTTGCACGTTGTGACGTAACGACCTCCCACTCCTAAACTTAACCATTTTATCTAAGTATTGTAACTTTATAACGAGAAAATAAAAAAATACGTGTCTAATATTTTTTCATTATCTAACTGACGGATTAATTAGATTATTAATAAATACCCTGCATCTACCCTATTCTTTGTGTGAACTACATATGACTGGTCCAGAATTCCTGGTCTAGGAGAATTTATGTGTTCAAAGACGCACCCACGACACAGGAGAAAGTTCTAGTATAAATCCAAGTACACACGGCCACACATCAACCTATACAAAACCAGTTTATCCTGGTATCGCGTCGCATCATCTTTCCGCACATTTAACGTTCAGTTTGTACTGGTTATGTAAGCTCGATGTGTAGCCGTATGTGCTATCCACCATGGTCAACCATGCAATGACCATAACTTCTATAATATGTTGACTAAAGTAACATTTCATGAATCTGACCTAATAAGTATTCAGTTCATATCGACCGAAGCAGTTTTGTTTATTAAGATAAAAACGCACCGATATTTTTATCTTCCGTAGTGCGTTTATGTGACATCTTTCACTTTGTATGAGAGTGACGTAGTTGATATTTTTAATATTAAACTGTCAAACACCACGAGGACACCGGTGACCGCAACCTTTTGTTCTATAATTGTGTCTATAATGACGGTACTCAACTAGTTAAGGTCGAAATCAAAGTCAAAATCATTTATTTAAACTAGACCATCAAGCCACTTTTGAACGTCAACAAAAAAAGTGAATATATTTGCTCATTCCAAGGTTCTTATGGAGAAGAACGAGCAAGAATCTCCATAGGTTACTCTTTTTCAATCAGGTTTACAATACAATTTTCTGTTACATAGTCTTGTTGATTCGATTGTATTACTATCAAGTAGGTATCACTGCATAGTATAAAACAAAGTCATTTTCCGTTGTCTGTCTCTATGTATGACGCGGTGTTTAATGTCAATGCCTTCAAAATAAAAAATGTCAACTACGTCACTATCGAAAAAATATATAATATAATTTCCACATTTTTTTTAAATTAAATAAATTAATAACATTTTTAGCATTATGTTTTGTTTTAAGCTCTTAATGTTCCTAGATAATTTTTTCGTATTTATAAGAATTTTAAAGAGTTTTCTGGACATCTGTACGTATCGGCTAAGGGTTTAGGGAGTGGGTTTTTTTTTTCTATCGCGATGGAAATCCTTATGGACTTTCCACGTTGTGGGGACGACGAGGGGCGTGCTGGAATCTTACCGGCTAACCACCGCGGTGTTCCTTCACTGGAGTGGATAGCTCTAAGGACTTGCCTTCAACTATTGACAACCAAAATTATCAAGAGACAATTAAAATATTAAACTGTCAAACACCGCGCGGTCACCGGTGACCGCAACCTATTGTTCTTTAGCTCATCGAGTACCGGTTTTGTAGACACAATTATAGAACAATAGGTTGCGGTCACCGGTGACCGCTTGGTGTTTGACAGTTTAATTGTGTCTATAATGACGGTACTCAACGAGTTAAAACTAAAAACACATACTAAATTAATTATTACGTTTTCTGCTTACTCACGTAATTGTTTGACAAGGAACTCGACTAGTTTCAAGCCATGCTAGGGGCTCATATTCATGAGCAGCATTCCTCGACCCGCGACGCGGCGACTGTCGCGCTGCTATTCAGATTCGGAGGCTGCGTGATTAAGTCGAAATAAATAATTAAAATATTGGTTTAGAAAATTTAAATTGTACCAAAAAGGGTATAATAAAATAAAATAATAATGTTCATCTCTATTGAGTGTCATGATTGTGAATTATTATTTAATAGAATTTGGACAAAAATGAATCTAAATTGACTTGCAACTGGCCTTTCGACATTGAATTATTGATTATAAGTCAAAAGCAACCTTTTGCAATTGCATTTAAAACACAATTTCGGATAAATTAATGTTAAACTCCCTCAAACCTTTTGGTCGACGCGTTTTTTTTGTTTTCAAAGTTCCGAAGTGCGATCGGATTGCAAAAAGTTATCGAGTATCGATAAATTCGTCTCACTTCGGATGTGGCATTTATTCAGGATTAAATTATAACGATTTTACATAAAATGACGCGGTAACCATTATCTAGTACTAACAGGGTAGGGACGCGCGATATTATCGATATCGACATTAAAAATGAGACCACATTTTTAGTTTTTACAGAAATATGAAATTCATATCGATGCTTTTGCTCATCCCTAACCGATTTTTATGCGGATTTTTTTTTACCGTGAGCTAGTAAGGTGTTGTAGTTTTTTTTTAATTATTATTTCCGGTATTTTTCATTCATATAGCATAGGTATTATTTTTTGGGGTGTGTGGAAATCTGTATAAATTAGATTTTACTAGAGATTTTTTGGAGAGGTAGTTATTAAGTTATATGGGGCATCGCCCTGTCCATAGTTCTAGGCAGGTTTGGGCCCATTTAGTGTTCGCGTTATGAATCTGACATTTACACCATTTTGAATCTCGACTCTAGCAAAATTTGGACCCAAAGACACGTTTAATCAAGACAGACGAAAATGTGTAAATAAAATCGACATTTTTCAAAAAAAAAAAAGTTTTATCGATATTTTTTTTGTTTTTTTTTTAGTTTTTTTTCTCGACACTAAAAGGTCCCAAGCGTTGTATATTATGCAGCGTTGAATTAACTAGAATTAAGAACTTAGTGTTAACGCAGAAATAGATTTCAACAATGCAAGAAAAAAAAAAGTTTTTTAAAATTTTTATTACATATTAATTAATTAATTATGATTATTATTATTTTTTGGTTAATAATATTAATTAATTCATGTAGTGTGAGGTTGTATTGTTTACAGTTAAGGCATAATTTTATTATTTCCCTAGATAAATAAATACATATTTTTTTCTTATAATATTGATGTAATGTTTGTATACATAAATAGTTATTATATATTAAAGACATTGCTTGTTTTATTTCTATATATTAGATCCCCTTCATCCATCATTCATCATCAACAGCCTATAAGTGCCCACTGCTGACCAAAGGCCTCTTCTCACACAGAGAACGTTAGAACATTAATCACTACGCTAGCTCAATGCGGGTTGGCGATTTCAAACTTATAATTAGAAATTATTGACTGCCTCATTGGCCGAGTGCGAGCAAGTGCGACTGCCGGGCAAGGGGTCTCGGGTTCGATTCCCTGGTCGGGCAAGGTATTACTGGGTTTTAAAAAAATCTCAGTAGTAGGACGGAGTCTGGAATTGTGTCCGGTATATGGCAATAGGCTCACCCCCTGTTACATGGGGCTCATAACATAAATAGTGAAAAATGGGTGTTACATTGTACAGTGGCATAATGTGCACCTCGGCCTACCCCTTCGGGGATAAAAGGCGTGATGTTATATAATTAGAAATTATAAGCCCAGGTTTCCTCACGACGTTTTCCTTTATATGGCAATACGCTCACCCTCTATTACATGGGACTCATAATAATTTAAATAGTGAAATGTGGGTGTTACATTGTACAGTGGTATTAACCCGTCGTGTGTCTAAACGGCGATCCACGTGAGACACATTATATTTTCTATTGTGTCTCATA